ATATCAGAGATTTTGAGATCTTCCACATCGCCATTGTTGATATTATCAAGTAAGCGTGTATAAGTAAAATGTTAATTACAATATGTACGATGTTAAAAATAATAATGCAAAATATCTTAATTTAACTCAAATCATCCAAACACTATATTGTGCTTTGAACTTTAATTGTAAAGAAAAATAATGAATACAAATTATAAGCAAAATTTATTAAAAGCTTCTAATCCTTGCCCCTTAACATTAACAAGCTCTCTCTAACACACTAACAATTAGCAGGCTGTATTCAAACAATGGAAAAAAGCCAAAGAGGAAGACAGGAAGAACCTCCTCATCGAATTTCTGAAGAAAAATGTGAAGCTTAGCAAGGTTGATGACACTACTACCATGATAACAGGAATACTAACACCTCCAATGGCTATGGCTGCTAAAAGAACCGTGGAGATTGTTCTCCAGCTGAAAATGATCGAGGCCATTCTAGACATCCTTTTCGTACCATCAGCAGCCGTGCTGGTGCTCATTTATGCCTCCAACATTATCCACAACCGTGATAGCGCAACCATTTCAGACATCCTTTTCATAATATCCGAAATGTTGGCGCTCATTTATGCTAAGATCTCCAACATGATGACTTACAGCTGGATATTCCAACACCATCCCCGTACATCGTTAAATAATTCATTCACTCAAACATAAAGCAAGGTACATTCTGCAATGCCCTTCTGCTTGTACAACTGATGCCAGCAAAAGCCAATCTCCACCAGTTCTGCTCACGGAAAAAGTCCAGAAAACTCCTTGAAGATCAAATTTACTTTCAATTCCAAGAAATATACAGTTATGTACATGAGAAATAATTTGGAAAAATAAAGCAATTGAGCATCACCTAGCCGACAATCAACCATATTTCCGACACGAAAACATTTCATTATACATAAGAGAGATGCTTAGAAGAAAGCATACACAGACGTCAAGTATCATATTTGATCAGATGTATAGTTTAGCATAGACTTCCCATTTTTGTATAGTTTAGCATAGAATTGCTCTTGGTGGTTACCTGGGTCTAACGACTGTTTTGTTCTTCTGGATATCCTATGAAACCAACTTCTTTCCGGTAAATGGCCTCCCTTTTCTTGTCATGTTGTGAAGAATTTCATAAATCTTCGAACTTTTGTGGCTGGCTAACAAAATTCAGGGTGCCCTTTTAAATTTTATACATAGCAGACATGACTGTTTTCTTCCCAAGTATTTTTGTTACAAAAGAAGTTGTCTTTTGTTGTTTAAAATAGGGTTGTATTCTACAGCTGATATGCGCATTGCATAGTCTTTTATATGTTCACTTAAAGAATAGATGAAATAGTGGACAGATTTTCATTGCTTTCTTGACTTTGGACACTGACCTTTCTTCTTGCAGGAAAAATTTGGTGTGAGAGACTTCAATCAACACCATTTTAATATGACAAATAAGAAAGTTGCTGCTAAACTAAACGATCAGATGTCGTCTGCTCTGTATCTTCAAATCAGCACCATCAGCCAGGCCTTGATATTTGTCACTCGCTCTCGGGGTTGGTCTTTCACCGAAAGACCTGGCTTTTTGCTTGTTATTGCCTTCATCGTTGCTCAACTGGTAATGAATTTATAATTCGGTTACATGAAACATACTTTCTGCCAAATATAGGATAGATATGGTTTCTGAAACAGACTATAAAAACTAGTTTAATTAATACAAAAGAGGACCAATTTGGGTCAACTGAAAACCATTCTAAAATCCACCCCCTCATTTTTCTTTCCTTTTCTTGAAGTGGATATTTTCTGATTTATTGCCTATAGTTTGATAAAATAATTCTAGTTTATATGAGATGTCTGATCTCCAGACACATCCTGAGATTTTAGATAAATTCTGGAGGGAAAAGCTTCATGCATTGTACACCAATTACCTCTGCCCTCTTAATGTCTCAAATTCAGTTTATTAACTGTTCCAACCTTGATATTACCCTTTTAATTCCAATGTTTCGAAATATTTTTAACGGCGAATAACTTTTTGCAGATTGCGACTGTAATATCTGCCACTGCAACCTGGAAATTTGCTAACATCAGAAATATTGGTTGGGGATGGACTGGTATAATTTGGTTGTACAATGTTATCATTTACATACTCCTTGATCCCATCAAATTTGCTGTCCGTTATGCTCTCAGTGGACAGGCATGGGGTTTGGTAGTAGATCAAAGAGTGAGTACCTGACTTCACCTTGATTGCTTAATATTGTGAACAAACTTCTCATAAAATATGCAACGGTGATGAACAAAACTATTGTATACCTCTAATCATCATGAACTCCGTAGTTAAGACTGATTTGGTATGCTTTTATCCATCTTACCAGACTGCATTTACCAGCAAAAATGACTTTGGAAAGGAAGCTCGTGAGGCTGCATGGGCAACTGAACAGCGAATACTACATGGACTCCAATCAGTTGACAGAAAAATGTTTTCGGAGAGGAACACTTTTAGGGACATTAATCTCATGGCAGAAGAAGCTAAAAGGCGGGCAGAGATTGCAAGGTAAAGCTTACAATGGTAGAGATAATAGCTGAGTTCAATGCCGAGATATAATGAGAATTCATTTGCCTATTTGCTTATCCTTCTGTTTCTTACTTTGGGTTTTTGATATTGCAGGTTGAGGGAGCTTCACACTCTCAAAGGCAAGGTTGAGTCATTTGCCAAGCTTAAGGGTTTAGATATCGACGCCATTAACCAACACTACACTGTCTAACTGCTGTGATCTGGATAGTGATCCCATTCACATTCTCCTTTATACATATACGTTCTTCATGTATTCGTTAACAAATACCGAGTCCAAGCTAGATTTTGAATAAGATTGACGTATTTCATGATGATATCTGTTTGTGCCTAATAAATCACAGTTGTAAACTGACCGAAGGGGCTTCCTCTCGGCCGTAGCACCTATTCATGAGCTGGAACGTGGCGTCTCGTCAGGCGTTTCGCCTTCCTAAAGAAAAAGGAAAAGCTGCGAAGGGGGAATCATTCTCGGCCTCGATCGCGGCATTATTGGCCGAGGCCGAAGGACGAAAGAGACACGGCCGAAGATATTAGAGTTAAATCGCCACGTGGCAGCAGGGTCCCACGCTTCATTTAATGAAGTAACGCCTCTGACTAGCAAATCTACTAGCCACAAAAAGGCATTTAATGCACGAGGAAAGAAGGGAAGTGACTAAAGTCAGGATTTGGTGATAGAAATCAGAGTGGTTAGGCGCAAACATTCTTACAAATATTCTTACAACTTAAGGTCAGATCACCAACCACCAGACCAGGGCATTAAATGCGTTCCCACGGCCAGAGGTGCAGGACCCACGATCAGGGCAGCGGCCGAGATTTACCAGGATTTATGGGGTCACACCACCATGCTTCACGATCCCAAATGTCGATTGGACTGCTCACTTGCTTTGATCGGGCTCCACCACGCAAATTTTCAGCCTCGATTACTCCTCCAGAGCTCTTCCTATAAATACCGAGCTCAAGCTACATTCAAAGGGTTCAAACACCAAACCAAAAGCCTACCACGGAGCAAATTATATTTTCTTGTCATTTATCTTCTTGTAATGCACTTTCAATATCTTTATTTGCTTTCCTAGGAATAGTGATAGATTGTAAGGAAAATCCATTCATCAATATATCATACGACCCTTGGTTTTCAAGGCGCCGGAGCACCATCTCTGTTACTTTCTCATTCATCCCATATATCATACGACCGTTGCCACCAAGCGACGCGCCGGAGCACCATCTAAGATCCACCAGAAACACCACCACTAAACGGCCTTGTAGCTCAGGCCGTGAATCTAACGGCCGAGATCAGTTCCTCTCTCGGCCACAATCGTTTGATTAGAAGTCGAACTCAAAAAGGCGCACCACTTAACCATTTACCCCAAAACGCACGGTAGACCATGCTGGCATGCCCGCGCACAAACCGCACCGCATCCAAAAGAAGGACATCACGTGTCGACGCATATCCCCTCGGCCCGGAACACCAGGCCGTGAGATTTGCGAGCCCAACAATATCTATATAACAAGTCAAATGGAATTGCAGTTATTTAAAACATGTGTTGATATGGAGACATTCTCGTTGTCGCTTTTTCTTACAAGAACACCAAACACCACCGGAAACAAGTTTGTGAACTTCTTTGTCTCTCATTCATCTTAGAGCTCATGATGTTTGACACAGAGGAATTGCAGATATCAAAGCACACCACAGCTACAATGTTCTATGTAAAACAGAACTTGGTTGAAATCTAGAGGAAAGCACAAAGTTAAACGAGTGTAACTAAAATCTAAAGGCATATGCAACATCAAATTGTAAAGGCAACAGGGAAAGAAAAAAGAAGTAATAAATCGAATCAATATTAAATCATCCAAAACCTTAACAGTAGAAGTGATTGGTAATAAGAAAAACACATGTATAGTTGAAACAGAAGAACAAATAAACCAAAAAATCAAGCACTCAAACAAATACAAATAACAGTAGAAGCACATACAGATTTTTTTTTATTCCATAGTGGTGCCAGACCAACATCAACAGAAATGCAGACTGAACTACAGACTCTACAGAGGGGAGAAGGAGAAGGAAAAAAGCACACAACACAGAGAAAACAGAGAACAACAGCAGATGCAAAGCCTAATTAGTAAACTCAATTTATTCATTCCCGGCTCTCCCTTTTGGTTATCATCAGTCTGATCATTCCAACAATCTTAACAAACAACTCCTTCCTCCTTGTGATTGCGACGTCCGCAAGAACCACTCCAACGACCAACCCACTTCCCAATCCAGCCAAAACAAATTTCCAATAAAATTCAAATGCTCCAGCTGAGCCTGAATCATTTTGTTCCACGCTTGAAGGCGGCTGTTGAGGGGTCTTAGCAACTCCACATTTGGTTTGCAGTGGACCTCCACACAATCCAGGGTTTCCCTCATATGAAGTGCTATCGAATGTAGTAAGTTGCCTTCCTTGTGGTATAGGACCTGTAAGATTGTTGTGAGAGACATCAAATTTTCCAAGGAAGGTAAGCTGCCCCAGTTGTTGAGGGATCTCTCCTGAGAGATGGTTGTGTGAGAGGTCTAATGATTCAAGCTGTGTTAAGCTCCCCAATGATAATGGGATGGAACCAGCGAGAATGTTGTTGGACATATTGAGTGAGTGAAGCCCCCTTAGGTTCCCAATAAATTCAGGAATCCTTCCTTCAAATTTGTTGCTTGAGAGATTAATGACCATAAAGTCTTCTTGAATCTTTTGAAAGTATCTCTCCACACCTTTATCTGTTATTGTACTTGAGTACGGAACATCTATACCAATTACAGGCAAATCATAGACAAATATGACTGCCCTCATATATGTGGGCTGGTTTAGAGTGATGCCTCTCATGCCATTCCCAGAGAAAATGTATTCAAGTGGAAACTCACCTGTGAAATTATTGTAAGACAGATCAAGAAAGCGCAAATCGAGGAAATGAAGATTCTTTTGGGGCTTGCCTATCACATCATAGAACTCGTTATGGTCCATGGCTAAAAATTTTAACTTTGGGAGAGTCCCAAACCACAAGGGGAAGACGTCATTAAATTCATTGCTTGACAGCACCATAAACTCAAGCATCACACAATTCGCCAATGACCTTGGTAGTTGCCCTTGCAATTGGTTATGACTAACATCAATCATTCTCAGGTTGCTTCTGCTAGCAGTGGTGTATGTTTGAGGAAGAATGCCATGAAAAAAGTTGTTTCCGAGATTTAAAACTTGCAGATCATCACTAAAGTTTCCAAGACACTGCGGAAGCGTGCCACTCAATCTGTTATCCGACAAATCAAGCAACTGAAGCTGACTCAAACTGCAAATCAATGGTGAAACTTGTCCAGTTAAGTAGTTGTTTGAAATTTGATAGTATTGGACGTTTGGCGGAGGTATAGGTAGTTCTCCGAATAGCATGTTGGATGACATGCCGATGTACTTCAAAGTTTCTGTGCTTGCGTTCCAGATCCATTTCGGTACTTCGCCACTTATTTTGTTTTCAGAAAGCATCAACCACTTCAAGTTTTCTTGATATCTCAGGAAATCTGGGAAACCTCTTAGGTTGCATGAATCCAGTCCTAGACTCCTGAACTGTGGAATAGTTACGTTCATAGTTCTCGATTCAATGAGCAAGTATAAATTATTATGACCTAGAAGGAGGTCCTTGAGATTGTGTAGCTTGAGAAACATGTGAAACTCAACTGTACCGCTGAGTCTATTTTGATATAGATAAAGTCCCTGGAGATTGATGAGATTGGATAATGACTTGGGAATGGAACTATTTAATTTATTTCTATCAAGATTTAATTGGGTTAGTCTAGTAAGGTTACCTAGCCAAGGTGGGATTGGACCAGTGAATTGATTTTTCCGAAGCGAAAGATGAGCGAGCTGGGTAAGGTTTGCCAACGAATCAGGAATTGGACCTCCAAATTTGTTGTCAGAAATGTCTAGATAAGTGAGCTGCCTAAGATTACCAAGTGAAGCTGGAACCAACACTTCTGAAAAATTGCATGCAGGCGCATCCAATTCTTGCAACAAATCAAGCTTTGCGATTGAACGCAAGTTTACGAAAATCCTAGTATACCCAAGTCTCAGTGACACGAGAAGACTACTTGGATTAAGTTCAGGCATATAACCAGTAAGACCCAGGTTGTATCCCACATTCAGACGACGTAGGTTTGGTAATTTGAAAATTCTTACTGGGAATTCACCAAACAGCTCACAGTTCTCGAGTGCCAGGGATGTCAAAAATGATAAATTTGCCATGGAATTGGGCACTGTCGAAGATATATTAATGTAACTGAGATCAAGCTTTTCTAGACTGGTTAAGTTTTGAACTAGGCTTCCAAGATTGGATGCATTAAGCAACAAAACTACACCAGAATTATGAGATAGATCAAGGGATGACAACTTGGACAAGTGTGAAACTTCCGATGGAACTGGACCAGAAAAGGAAGAGCCAGAGAGGTTGAGATAAGTGAGCCTTGGAAAATTCCTAATGCTAATAGGAATTTGAGAGTAATTGAAGTCATTATGAGCAAGGTTCAGTCTCTGAAGATGAACAAGACGGAAGAGGCTGCTGTTGGAGTTGATGGATCCGTAAAGACCACTGCTACTAAGATCAAGTCCGATCACATGGCCTGTCTCCTCATCACAATCCACACCGTCCCATGAACAGCAGTTGCCATTGTAAAATGAAGCAGATGCATACATAAAGCTTTGCATGAATTGCAGCAAAGCAGAGCTTTCCTCATCATGGCATGATGGCTGCTGCTGCTGCTGCAAAGAGTGCAAAGAGTTGGCAATAACCACAAGATGAAACAACACCACCACAACAACTAGTTTTGAAAGCATATTGCCAATGGACACATTAAAAAAACACATGGTGTTTTGAAAACTTTATTTTGCACTCTTGAGATAAACCTGTAGGGAAATGCAAAGTGAGAGACCTGTTTATTGACTGACTGCATGAGGAGCAATAATTTCACCACAAGATTAAGTTCCAAACATTTGCATGACTTCTTCAAGTCAACTGATAAGTTAAGTTTAGAATGGGGTGAGATAGATCACATGTTTAACATGATAGCAGTTCCATACTAAAATTGAAGTCATTATGAGCAAGGTTCAGTCTCTGAAGATGAACAAGACGGAAGAGGCTGCTGTTGGAGTTGATGGATCCGTAAAGACCACTGCTACTAAGATCAAGTCCGATCACATGGCCTGTCTCCTCATCACAATCCACACC